TGGGGGGGGGGGGGGGGAGGATCCAAGTCGCCGACTCGCCTCGCAAGCCACCCATTGACATGTTCCTTGTTTACCAAGAGAAACCCGGCAAGAGGGGGGGGGTGGAGTGAGAGACGCGATGGAGAACAAAGAGAGCAATGGTACCGTGGTTTCTGCGAAAGGTGTCTGCGGTGCTTACCGCTCACATCATGACAGACCCGGTGCAGGTAGCCCTCGGCAGAGGGGCTCTCGACAAAGAAGTTCGACGAGAGAGTTTTGGCGGGAGTCTTGACGGCGAAGAGGAGGAGAGTGAGTGAAGGGGTACACGTAAGATGTGGAAATGATGGGAGGGGTGAAGAAGGGACGGGTGGACATGTGGAGGATACCAATGTCTGATGAAATTCTGTCACTTCTCTTTTCGTTCTATACACGCTTTTTTTTCTCTATCTCGGGAGAACAGAGGGGGGACGGACCCTCTTGGTTTCAATTCAGCGGCGTTTTTCCGTTACTGTGGTTTCTTCTTTCCTCTGGTCACGTCTATACCTAGTAACTAGTAGTAGTATAATCTCTGGGGGTGAGGGGGTTACGATACTTTGGAGGATAAACAAATACAAGTGCAAAACATTGGAAATCTCGGGTGCGTTCAATATGGATGGATGGTGACGTGCCTGAAAGCTGTATACGGAAATGACAGCATACCGGAGATTTATTCTGTTTTTTTTTTCTTTTTTTTCTTTTTCTTTTTTCGCCGTGTTGTTTGGAACTGGTAGTGCATACTGTTTGATATACAGTGAATAGTGATATAATACACCCTCTCTACCTCTCTTTCTTGGTTTCATCCTTCTTCCTGTCTTTGTCAAGCTCAGCCTGATCCTCATTCATGGCCACGATGATGTATCCCACCAGGACGACGTTGGCGAGGATAGCGGCCAGACCGCCTGCGTAACTTGCGTTGCCTGTATCTTGTCAGTTTCTTCTCAGTTTCTCTGTCTCGTTTTATTTCCCCCTCCCTTCTTTTTCTTCGTCTTTTTTTCTTCTATGTGTTTCTGTCCTCTTCTCATATATAGTGCAAATAGTGCATATAGTGCATATAGTGCACATATATATATGCTTGTGTCTGTCTGTTTTCTGAGGGGGAAAAAAATGAAGTAAAAAATTCACCCTTAAATATCGTGTTGACAGTCAGGAAATATGACCCGATGGGAATGAAAATCATGGCCATTGTGAAAGCCAAGAGTTTAAAGATGACGTCCCTTTTGCGCGTTAGCTGACCAGGAAGGACGGTGACCAAGGACAAGGAAGGACAGTGATCAAGGACAAGACAATGAATGAATACTTTCAGGAGGGGAGCAAGAGAGAGGAGCACAAGGGAAATAAAACTCACTTGGGAACGGCGGGAGCTATGTTGGATTTCTGGTCGACATCATCCTTTTCGAGTATGGTCCTTTCGGAACCGACGATACGACGGGTGGCCATGGCTTCTGCCGGAGGAGAGTCCTGCAAGGGATCTCAAAGATGAGAGGATGGAATGCAGGATCAGAGCGTCGTCGAGGATGGTATGGCCCGGAAGCTGGAGATGACGAACCTGGGAATGAGAGGGCTGTGCGTGGATGCTGAGATGATCTCTAGGCGGATGAGAGACGACGGCAGGACAATGCAGGTTAGTAAAATACGCCGTTATGGAGGAGAAATGTATAGTGGTACCACGTGACTTCGTGATGGGTATGACGAAAGATAAAAGCCCACGGTGTATTGAAAAGTAAAAAGAATAAAAATACAAAACATTAAAAAAAGGAAACGCAGGAAGAGAGGTACGAGTAGAATTTGGAAAGATGGGGGAATCGTACTAAATTTTTTCCTTTCTTTCCACTTTGTTCTTCACCTTGATAAAATAGAGACTCGGAACTCGAATGAATGCACGTATAATGAATGCATGGCGTGTTGCATGCTGRGKKSGGGGGGGGGGGGGGGTGGGACAAGGCAAGGAACGCGTCTTGAGCGCGATATCAGACAAACTGCCCATTAAAATAAAATAAATTGCAACCGCCGCGCTCACATCTTCTCCCTGCACTCCAATACTCGGGAGATAGTACTCCATACAGCCAACGCCCATCTCCTTCCTTTCTTCTCTTAGAGCCAGCTTATTCTCTTGCATTTCCCTTCACTCGCCTGATTCTCGATTGACTTCAAGCCCTCTTTTTTCTTCTTCTTTCGTTTCTTGAAGAGAGAGGCAAGAATATCCAACGATTGACAAGGTGCATTACGCCGTTACTGCTTCTCCAATAATGTCCCTCCCATCGCCAATCCCAGTGCGCCGTCTCCCACCCTCACCTTCAACTCACCGTGTCCTCATCGACCCAGACGACATTGACGAATTGGCCGGCGGCGACGAGGACACAATACCCTGCTCCCCTGGGGCAGTTCTCCGCCACACCACACAACCTACACAAGTCCCCGACCAAGGCAACCGCCGACGGTCATCGTCCCCCACCCCTAGCATCATCGAAGTCCCTGCCTCTTCACCATTTCAACCTTCCGCTCAACGACAGCGACGGGGGCCCCCGAATAGCAAGGATAACAAGAAGAGCAGTAACAGAGCGTCTCTGGGAACCCGCCTCGCGCCAGCAGGAACAGTCTTTCGTCCCCCGGGAATGATGTCTACCGTTCCCAAACGTCCTGCCCCGACGGAGGATCCCTCTGTCGAGGTCATATCCGACGACGACGACGACGACGACGAAGGACTGAGCTCCTTCTCTAGGGGAAAGATCGAGCCTACAAAGTTCCAGACGCGCATCTCGGAATTCATGTTCAACCCCAACGCCTCCGCCGACAAGGAGAAGAAGACACGCCAGAAGCTGCAGCAGATCTTCCACGTCTTCGGGTCCAGATACCCTTCCGATATGGTCAGGAGGGCCTTGCGGGAGACGGACGACGACGTTGAGCTGGCCATGGACTGGTTGGAGCGTGGCGGCAACCGCAAGAAGAAGGCTGCCGCCCCGGCCTCGACCGCCACCGGCAACAGCAACAACGGCGGCGGCCGTCGACTCATCAGCAGGGCTAGCCTTCAGGCCAAGGATACCACACCGGCGCCTTCGCCCAGCCCGCCTCCCAAGGCGCAGCCCAAGAAGCGCCGTCTCGTCCAGGGACTCAGGAGGCAGGCTGGCACGCCTTCGCCCCGGAAGCCGTCGCCGTCACCCGCGCCGCCGCCCCCCTCGAGCGCCGACCCGCTGGTCATCGACCTGGTGGAGAACGACAAGGATGATGCGTACGAGGCGGAGGCGTCGCCGGAGCCGGACGGGCAGGGCGGCTCCAAGGTTCTCGACTGCCTCAACACGTCGACGGTGAGCGAGCTGGCGGCCATGACGAGCATGAAGGAGACGCAGCTGGAGCCGATAGTGCAGGCCAGGCCGTTTGCCGACCTCGACGAGGCGCGCGAGGTCAGCGCCGCCAAGAAGCCGGGGGCGCGCAAGACGCCGCGCACCAGCATCGGCGAGGCCGTCGTCGACGCCATAGAGGTCTTCCTCGAGGCCGTCGAGGCCATCGACCACATCGTGTCGGAGTGCGAAAAGAAGGCCCGCACCGTGGGTGCCGTCATGGACAGCTGGGAGGTCAACAGCTTCGGCTACGACAGGAGAGGTGCCGTCGACGGAAAGAAGGGCGGTAACGGCGGCGGCAAGGGTGGCAGCCGCAACGACACGCCCGACCTGCCGCCCACGCCGACCAGCCTGTCCAGCATGGCCCGGCTGTGCAAGCCGCCGATCCCGAAGCAGCCGGCCCTCATGGACGGGCACTGCACCATGAAGCCCTTCCAGGTATTCGGGCTCAACTGGATGTCCCTCCTGCACAGCTACGACATCGGGTGCATCCTCGCCGATGAGATGGGTCTGGGCAAGACGTGCCAGGTCATCTCCCTCATGAGCCACCTCGTCGAGAGTCATGACCGGAAGAGGAAGAGCGGTGGCGGTGATGGCGACGGCGACGGCGACGGCGACAGACCCTGGCCGAACCTGATCGTCGTCCCTCCCAGCACGTACAACAACTGGCTCGCCGAGTTTGAAAAGTTCGCCCCGGACCTGTCGGTCGTCGGATACCGAGGCTCGCAGGCGGAGAGGATGGAGATTGCGTACGAGGTGGCCGAGGCTCCGGAGAGGTGCCACGTCGTGCTGGGCACGTACTCGCAGATCAACTCGGAGGCGGACATCGAGTCGCTCAACTCGATGGGACTGCACGCTGCCGTGTTTGACGAAGGCCACAAGATGAAGAACCCCGAGACCAAGATTTACAAGGACCTGCGAAGGATACGGACGGACTGGAAGATGCTCCTGACTGGTAGGTCATCCCCTCTCCCCTCATCCATCTCTCCTTCTCTCCTCTTCCCTCTAGAGATTCTCTCCTTCCCTCCTCCGTCCCTCCCTTCTTCGATGGAGGGGGGGGGTGTAGCAGATACTGACGGCACCCGGCAAACAGGCACCCCGGTTCAGAACAACCTGTTGGAGATGATCTCCCTGCTCAGCTTCATCAACCCCGCCATGTTCGACGGCTACATGGAACCGATCAGGTACATGTTCAGCACCAAGGTGACGATCCGCGACGTCTCCAACGGGGCATTCCTGTACACGGAGCGGGTGAAGCGGGCGCGCACGATCCTGGAGCCCTTCATCCTGCAGCGGCGCAAGGATCAGGTGCTGTCCGAGATGCCCAAGAAGATACACACGCAGGTGCTGTGCGACATGACGGCGCGCCAGAAGGCCGTGTACGGCGAGTACGAGCGCATGTTCAGGATGGATCCGTCGGAGCGCGCGGCTGCTGCGGCTGCCGCTGGGGAGAAGAAATCGAGGTCGGCGTCACGGCAGAACGACCAGAACAACGTGTGGATGCAGCTGCGCAAGGCGGCGATCCACCCGATCCTGTTCCGGCGACACTTTACGGATGCGCGGTGCGAGGAGATGGCGCGGATGCTGATGGAGCGGATCCCGCAGTCGGAGCTCCACCAGCCCAACCTGGGCCACCTGGTTCAGGAGCTCCGGAACTCGTCCGACTTCGACCTGCACCTCTGGTGCCGCGACTACGGTCCGCTCCTGGGCCGGTTCGACTACGAGCCGGGCACGGAGATGGACAGCGGCAAGGTGCGCAAGCTGGTGGAGCTGGTGACGGCGTACCGCTCGCGGGGGGACCGGGTGCTCGTCTTCAGCAGGTTCTCGCGCGTCATCGAGCTGCTGCGCGAGGTCATGGCCCTGCACGGCGTCGACCACCGCGTCCTGGTGGGCAACACGAACGTGGCGGAGCGGCAGGAGATGATTGACGACTTCAACGCGGACGCGTCCATACCGGTATTCCTGCTGACCACGGGGGCCGGCGGCACGGGTATCAACCTGACGTCGGCGAACAAGGTGGTCATCTTTGACCAGTCGGACAACCCGCAGGACGACATCCAGGCCGAGAACAGGGCTCACCGTCTGGGGCAGAAGAGGGACGTCGAGGTCATCAGGCTGCTGTCGAGGGGTACGGTAGAGGAGCTTATCGATAAGGCCTGTCAGAAGAAGATTGAGCTGGCTGATAGGGTGACTGGTGGTGGTGGTGGTGGTGGTGATGAAGGTGATGATGTGAATATTGAGAATGAGGTGAGGAGTATGATGAAGGATATGACACCTCCTTAGGATTTAAGCTTTTGTAAAATAAAAATAAAAATAAATCTTTTCTTTCCTTGATGTCTTTTGACCTTTTTTTTTTTGGCTTCTATAAATTATTGGCTTTCTTTATATATTTACATATGTATTAGTCCTGTCTTTCTTTCTTTCTTTCCTTCTTCATTCTCATGTTGCTTTCTACGACTTTCCGATGGACGTTTCATGACTGGCTGTCTTGTCTGCTCTGTGGCTCATGTACTCGTATAGATTATGAAACATGTACAGCGTTGACAATGTTTACATGTAGATGGTGATGTTTTAAGTGTGCTGTACTGACGTGCTGTGCTATATCACTCCGAAATGGCGGGGACGTGTTATATATATCAATATATTAATCATATTGGCATATTAATGCACATGTACTCTGTGACTATAAAGAAAAAGAGATTTTTTTTTTAAAGAAATAGATAGTTGTTGGTATCGTCTTTCTTGATTTAGCTTCACCGTACGATATCGCAGGTGCATCAGCTCCTTCTTCAAGAAGAGCCTTTGCGGTTGTGATGATCGATAGTTGTATCTTCTAGGATGACTCTCTTCGTGATAGTGATATGTACGCTTGCCAAGTCATCCTGAGGCAACAGCCCCGGTACCGGGTTATCCCTTCTTCCGGCCGCATTTGGCAGCTTGATGCAGGCAATAATAAATAAATAAAAAACTGTAGGTATAGATCATGTAAACAGAGGGAACTCTTGATATCGAGCTTGCTCCGGCAGTAAAGCAATACTCGTTAATACATGTTATGCTTGGATCAATCCTCCGTCCTGCGTACTGTGCGATTGATTCCCGAATCTACAAGTAACTCCTCCCCGTACGTACATGTACGGTGATGCCATGATCACAGAACAGAAAGAAGGGAAAAGAAGAGAGGAAGAAGAAGAAAAGAAGAGAATAAGGAGAAGAGAAGAGAGACCCCTCCCAAGAGACCGATGGTCCTTCCAGAAGAACTATAGTACCCAGGTGAGCGGACCATCCTGGTATCCCCACAATCAATTTACGACAGCCATGTCTCTGTACTCGTACGAGTTACGCTGGTACCTGCGCTCACTACGAGTAGTTACTGCTGGTAATCTGTAACTCACAAGTTACTCGTACGTTGTCGACAAAAAAACAAAAAAAAAACAGGGCATGGTTCATCGCCCCGGTCCTCCGCTCCGGTCCCCCCCCCCGCCCCCCGGGTAAATCAACATCAAGTTCCCCCTCCCCCCAACCCCCCCCCTGATCAAAAAATTGATAATATTACTCCTATTCAAGTTTTGATGTACTCCTCATCAAAAGTTGACGTACCCCTAATCAAGTTTCTGCTATACTCCTAATCAACTTGACGTACCACCCTCCCCCCCCTGTTTACCGTCGTGACAAGTCACGTGCGTACCAGCACCAATAGCACCAATAGCAACAGCAAAAAAAGAGCACAGTACAACCCACACCCACCCTGGACCCTTGCCATCTCTGTTTACTTTTTTATTTTATTTTATTTTTTTATTTTTTTAGTATTTACATCCAGGCTAGTCGGGACTGGTTTGGTTGCCATGGTTTCTTTCTTTTATTTTTTTCCTGTCACATTCTGTATGAAAAGAACCACTCACTCGATCCCAGTAATGTCCAGTATCCAGTATCCCCCAGTATCCAGTATCCAGGTATCCAGTACCCAGTATCCCCCCCCCTCCCCAGTACCAAGTGCGCCGGTATGTGTCAGTGTGCCATTGTCCCAGCGTCCACACACCGAGAAAAAGAAAAAGAAAAAGAAAAAAAAAAGGGCTACTTACACCTGGGGTCAACTGCATGTCGTGCATATGCTCTGCATGCTGCATGACGAAGGGCCTGCTCGTACCTGGCCACTCTCCGTCTTCTCTCCTCTCTCTCTTCTTCTTCCCTCTTCTTGAAAGAAGAAGAAGAAACACCCCCAAGTACATGCATACGAGGACATGTCTCGGGCGACGACGTTGAACAATGCATGCCAACATGCCGATACGAGTGACGGGTAACAAGGTAATCATCAACCGGCATCCAGTAAAACACGAGCAACCGGCAACCACTAGAGACGAGCAATCAATGCAGTAAAAAGATTATCTATTCAGCCAGCCGCGCTCGGCCGTCATGCAGTATACAGCTATCGGTGCAGTATGCAGCTATTAGAAAAAGAAAAGAAGAGGAAAGAAAGAAAAGGTATACCATACAAGAGAATTGAAAAAAAAAACGCTACCTCTCCCAAGAATAAAAAATCTCCTTTTTTTTTTAAAGAAAGAACAAAAAAATGATAAAAAAAACAGATAAACGCCTTTTCTCCAATGTTATTCTGTGGTATCAAACCCGCTACGACCTCGTCCTGTGGGTCGGCCATGTCTATCTTCTGCCTGGTTCAGAATGCAACACCAGGTCTGTATTCTCCTTTTTCCCCCGTAAAACGCCATGATAGAAGACAGAAAGAGAAGCAAGAGGGGAAGCTGGAATATGAAAAATAAGAAATAGAAAAAAAAGAATGAGCCCAAGACATCGCTGGGTGGGTTTCATGCTGGTTACACGTCATGCTTGTAGTCGTCGCCTGGCTGGTCTGGACGCCAAGTGTCGCCTGCCGGGCAAGCACGACAGCAGAGTGTGGCCGACAGCCGAGCGCGGCAGGGATTCTGTCTTAGGCACGCGACCATGTCCGACGCGCGCGAGACGTGGGTGTCCTGTCTGTCGACCTGCTGACGCCGACGCGGCGCTTGTTGACCAGGTCGCGCCAGCGGCGAGAGAGGCCGTCGGGGCTGTCGTAGCCGAGTCGGGCGGCGCACTCGCTCCACTGATCATCCGAGATGGCGGCCGTGTTGATGAACCAGTCGATGAGCATGCCGTCATCTCTCGGGGACCAGCGACCGCGACGGAGTGTCCCCTCGGCCGGCTGCTGACGGCCTTCGTCGAGAAAGTCGCTGCGGTGGAGACCCCGAGGGATCTCGGGAGGGCCGACCGCGGCGGGCCTGGGGGTCCTGGGAAGGCCGTGTGCCGACGGGTGGCTCCTCTTCCGCGGCGCATCCTGGTCGGCGCGCGGGTCCCGGCTCCGGCTCTGAGACTGGCGCTCGTCACCGTCGTTGCCGTCCTCGTCGCCGTCTGCGCAGGATGACCTGCGACGCTTGGTACCCGCCAGAGGCAGGGGTGTGCGGAGCTTGCTGCTGCTGCTGCTGCTGCTGCTGCTGCTGCTGTCGTTGTCGTTGTCATTGTTGTTGTTGTCGTCGTTGTTGTCGTTGTTGTTGTTGCTGATGTCGTCGTCGTTGTTCATGGGCTCGTCGTAGCCCTTGAATCCCAGAGGCGGCGACGGAAGCGGACGGGGGATAGAGCTGGGGATGAGAGAGGAGAGCGGACCGGCCGACGGCTGGCTGAGGTCGGGGGAGGAAGCACAGGAGTACGAGCACGGATGCGACGGAAGACCCATGATGGCGTGCAGAGTCTGAGCAGACGTCTTGACGTCGGAGAGAGCGGGGAGGCTCACCGTCGGACGCATCTCGGGTGACGAAGGCGGCGAGATGAATATCTGTCGCGGGCGCGTCGATGTGGAGGGACGAGTAAACTCGAAAGGAGAGGCGAGGGTGGCCATTGTATGTGTATATGCGAGGGAAAGAGCGTGTCTGCCCAGTCTCTTTTTTTCTTTTTTTTTCTTGTCCTCTTCCCCGAGGAGGCAGGCTTGTTGAGCTTTGTCGCGGCAAGCGACGACGACGGCTGAGGTCGTGCTAGACGTGATCGAGCTCGGCAATAGAGGAGCGTGTGCGCTGTTCGGGAAGGTACGAAGGTTGGGACGGTAGAGAGGGCGCTGTTGCCGCTGCTTTGCCGTCAGGTGGCTGGGTTCGATCGCGACGCGAGGGGAGACGGAGAGAGAGAGAGATGAAAGAGAGCCGGGTCGCCAAGTGAGAATAGACAGGACAAGGGCTTCCTATCGAATGGAGAGGCCGATGGTGCGATTGAGCTGGCGATAGATGTCTGTACAGACTGAATACGTTTCCGAGGTGGTCCGGAGGGAGATTGGTGTTGACGAGATGCGAATGCGACCAAGAGGGGAAGGAAGGATGGAGAGAAGAAAGAGGAGGAGGAAGCTGCGATGGTTGGTCGGTGGTGGCGGGTTTCCCTTTGTTTTGTGGATGAGCGAGAGAGGGGAGCAGCCGAGCGACGGGGACAGTGACAATGGGGCGGCTCGATAGCAGGAGCCGGGCAGAAGCAGCAGCAGGCAGGAAGCAACGGAGGGGCCCCGGG